AAAAAAAAAAAAAAAAAAAAAAAAAAAAAAAAAAAAAAAAAAAAAAAAAGATGAATATATTCATGAAGATAATCATCATAAACATCTTGATCAATCAGGAGATGCTACACCAACTAATGAAGGTATTTCTTCTTTTTTTTTTCTTCTTTTTCTTCTTTTTTTTATTCTTTTTATTCTTTTTATTTATTTATTCTCTTTGTCTTTTTTACAGGATATATAATCTTTTTTATTTTCTTCTTTTTCCTTTTTTTTTCTTCTTTTTCCTTTTTTTTCTTTTTCTTTTTTTTTCTTCTTTTTTCTTTTTCTTTCTTATATATTATTTCTCTTTATTTATATTATATTATATATGTATTATATTTAGTATATATTGTATATATAATATAATATAAATAATTATTTATTTTTTTTTTTTCTTCTTTTTTTTTTTATAGGGGAAGATAGTTGGGACGAAGAGAAGGGAGGATCAGAGAATGGTAAAGAGAAGAAGAGTGATAAAAAAAAGAAGGAAAAAAGAATAAATAAAGAAGAAGAAGAAGGAGGACAAGGAGGAGGAGGAGGAGGAGGAGGAGGGGGCCCCTCCTCTAAATTAGTAGGGAAGGAGGCCCTAACAATTCATTGTCCGGAGATAAAAGATGTAATAAATAGATTAAGAAATATGTTTATTTCTTCCCCTCCTCCTTCTTCTTCTTCCTCTTCCTCTTCTTCTTCCTCTTCCTCCTCTTCTTCCTCCTCTTCTTCTTCTTCCTCCTCCTCCTCTTCCTCCTCTCCTTCTCCTTCTCCTTCTGTTACCCCTGAGTCTTTCTTTGTTGAGTTAAGAATGTTGCAAGTCTCACAAGACTTTGATGCTAAGGTACGTCCTTCTTATTCCCTTTATTTATTTATTTATTTATTTATTTATTTATATTTATTTATATTTATTTATTTATTTATATTTATTTTATTTATTGATGTATATATAGAAAGAAAAGATGCAAACAGAGCCAACACATGTCTATAAAAACACAAAAAAAAAAAAAAAAAAAAAAAAAAAAAAAAAAAAAAAAAAAAAAAAAAAAAAAAAAAA